GTGAAATCCCCGCAACAGCTCGAGTCGATCAAGGATGGTCGGAACAATGTTGTCGGAGTGTTGGCGATCCTGGAGACGGCCTTTCGGGATTCAAGATGGGAGTTGCTGCACGAGGCAGCTGATCTTCTGCGGAATGCTATTGTCCTGCTGCGTGGTGCGAGTCGTCAATGATACGGGCGGAGGCCAGCGTTTTCGTAGATACTGTTTACATGAGCGGTTTTTGTACAATGTATTGTGTCGTGAGCAAGCCATCAACATGAAGCTATCCCCGAACCACGGTCTGTGAGAGAGAGGGAGTGGCACAAGCGTCTTATTTGATGATTCGTTTTGTCACGTTTACCATTGAGACTGGAACTCACACAGGGGGGGAAGGGAGAAGGGCGGGGGGAGAGGCACACGCTCAACCCCCACGAACTGCCAACAATACATGTACGGACGTGGGGGAAGCCCGTGCTGTTTCTTTCCCGTTCGCTCCCGGACGATCAACCGCCGAGTGCCAGCCAAACACACCACCCTGTCGGCCCTAGTGTCCCAATATGTCCCACTGTATCCCTTGTACGGCATCATTTCCGCCGACACCGGTTCACGAGGATGACAGGTCCAATGTCACCGACGGCAATTGAACGGTGTCTTATCGACATACTTGGCAGTCATGTATTGTTTGTATGTATGTACCTGGGGTATGTTACAATGGTACAATACATGCGGAGAGCCGGACCCATGCACGTTGACCCTTTTTCAAGGACCAGGTGTTTCGATCTTTTTTTTCCATATTGACACCACTGATTCTCGTTGTGGTTGGAGGTATATTCCTTTTACTAGGTATACAGTTACTTTGAGACAGGATCATCGATTGTTTGCTTTGACTGAGCTTCCGGCAAATTTGCCCTGCAAAGCAGACATTTCTCTTCTTTGCTGTTCCCCAATAGTTACATCTCTCTCAAACGCAATCACTTATTCGCAGGGATGGCCTCCAGCCAGCTAAGTTCCCTCGGGGGCACCCCCAACGGGCAACAACGCCCAGCCGTGCCCAACACGCGGCCGCCAGGGGCCAAAATCAAGAGCATCGAGTACTTCCGCGTCAAGCCGCGGTGGCTGTTTGTCAAGATCTGCGACGACCGCGGACTCCACGGCTGGGGCGAGGCCACGCTCGAGGGCCACACGCGGGCCGTCGAGGGCGCGCTCGACGAGATCATCGAGCGTATCGTCGGGTACGAGGCCGAGTAAGTCACTTACCATGTCTGTGGGATCTCCTTTTTTTTGAGGGAGAATGAGTATATATGTGTAAGGCGGGCTACTGACTGGGAGGCAAATGGTGTGTTATCCTGCCTGTGGTTAGTGACATTGAACATATCTGGCAGACGGTATGGCGCCTGGGGTTTTATCGTGGAGGGCCGGTCTTTATGTCTGCGCTGTCGGGGATTGATATTGCTCTGTGGGATCTGAAAGGTGAGGCGAGTCCAGGGGAGTTTCGGAGACAAGATATGTGCCGCTGGGCCCCAGGGAGGTCAAGGGGAAATATTGAAAGGTCGGTCTGCTAACAAAAACGAAAATCCACAGGTCGGAGACTGAATGTCCCCGTCCACCAACTCCTGGGCGGCAAGGTCCGCAACAAGGTCCAGGTCTACGCGTGGATCGGCGGCGACACGTTCGCCGACATTGAAGGAGCCGCAAAAGCGCGCATCGCGCAGGGTCTGAAGTGCATCAAGATGAACGCCACGGGGCCCGTCAACTGGCTCGACTCGCCTTCCGTCCTGGACGCGACGATCGAGCGGCTCAAGATCGTCAAGGGGCTCGGACTCGACGCCGGCCTCGACTTCCACGGCCGCCTACACAAGCCCATGGCCAAGCAGCTGGCCAAGGCGCTGGAGCCGTACCGGCCCCTGTTCATCGAGGAGCCCCTGCTGGTCGAGCACCCGGAGGCGCTCAAGCAGCTGGCCGCGAGCACGACGGTGCCGATCGCGTTCGGCGAGCGCCTCTACTCGCGCTGGGACGTCAAGCGGTTCCTCGAGGACGCCAGCGTCGACATCCTCCAGCCGGACATCGCCCACGCGGGCGGCATCTCCGAGACCCGCCGCATCGCCGCCCTGGCCGAGACGTACGACGTCGCCGTCGCCCCGCACTGTCCGCTGGGGCCCCTCGCCCTCGCCGCCAGCATGCAGGTCGCCCTGTGCTCCCCCAACTTTGTCATCCAGGAAATGTCCCTCGGCATGCACTACAACGTCGAGGCCGGAGAGGAGGATCTCAACACCTACCTCGTCGACCCGGCCGTCTTTGCCATCCGCGACGGCTACGTCGACGCCCTCACGGGGCCCGGACTGGGCATCGAGATTGACGAGGCCGTCGTCCGCAGAATCGCCCAGTCTACCGGCCATTGGCAGTGTAAAGAGTTTTATGGGCCCGATGGGTCGATCCGGGAGTGGTAGGCCCCTTGGCACGGTGAGCTTGGGGAGGGGAGGGGGGGAGGGGGGAGAGAAGAGATGGGAATGAAGATGGTGATGCAGATACCAACCGTCCACTGTTTTCTCGTGCTTGACTTTACCTGCCCCGTGTTAAGGTGTGGTGAGAAGTGGGAGGGAAGGAAATGTTAAAAAAGAGAGCATATCTTGATATACTGATCTCAACTTGTCTATTACCCCTGGCTCCTGTCCCGTCGTACAGGGAACCTCTGATCTGGGGTATGTGGGCATGGGGGAAAGGGGGGGGGGGGGCCGAGAACAGAGCGTCGGTGTCTACGCCGCTCGACCCCGTGTGTGCTGTGTGGTGCCTCTCTGGAGGATTCTCAACCGATAGGATCGAATCCTTCTCTTTCTTCCTCCCATCCCCTCTTCTGCTCTAGCGGGGAGGGAGCATGGATTGCACTTGTACGATGCACATTGTTGTGTATCTGACGGTGTTCACAGGGAGTTGTTGTTCCGCACGAGGCCTCCAAGGAATACATATCTCGGCAAGTACTCGGATTTACCTCTGAACGTGGGCCAGTGGCTCTACCCCACACAGGCAGTGATCAATACCGCCCCGTATGCATACCTAGCCATGTCTTGTAATACCCGCAGGGGGCAGGGTTTCAAATATCCAGAACCTCGTACCTATCTAGTCGCGTCCCAAGTTAAAGACATATGCTTGCAAACATACAAGTCTTGATGATGTTATGCTGCAAGTCAGCACTACGTATGTGTCGTGGTCCCCTATTCAAATACGAAACAAGGGGGGATTTGTCGTCGGTGAAACACTCACATCGGGGGCCCCGCGTGTTTCAGGATCTCGAGCCTGAGATGGACTTGCACGACTTCAGTCATTGTTTCGACACTTGCTTGCCTTCTCTCGATATCCACGCAAGATGAGGCTCGATGGGATCTCGTTATGTCTTCTTACCCGGTTTGTTGCGCTTGTCACCGCGAGTGAGTCCCCAACCTCGTTAAGCGGGACGATCGTCGATTCTTCCACAGAGCAGGGGAGGGAGAGCGAAAGCCCGTACTTTCCCTGGACGCATCGACCCATCTGCTCGGAGCACCTCAGCGAAGCGGGAGACGAATTCTGCGTCTACACAAACGCGTCCTTCAGCAACGGACGCGGCATCTCCATCTTCACCACGCCCGCAATCGCGCACGAGTTTGCGTCTCTGCCACCGTTCCAAGATGCCGCGGCACTGTCCTCCAGGGGCATCAACCCCGAGACAGAGGCGGAAGATCGGCCCTGGTACACGGCGTCCATCCCCGGCAAGGGAATCGGCATGCTGGCGTCGCGGCCGCTCAAACGTGGCGATCTGATCACGGCGTATACGCCCGCGCTTGTCGCACATATCGGCGACCTCGTCTTCTCAGAGGATCGGGAGAGATTGCTGAAGTTGGCTATCGATCAACTACCCCCGGCAAGTCGAGATGCCTATCTCGACCTGGCCAAGATTTACGATGAGCCGGAGGTCGTGGCTCAAGATGTGTTGAAGGCGAATGGATTCGACATGAAGATTGGGGGGTTGTTGCATCCGGCTGTGTTTCCAGAGGCCGCGAGATACAACCATGCCTGTGACCCCAAGTATGTTTGCTGGATATTCTATCACCTCCCATTATTGTGACCTCCGAGTATATAGCTGACTAACGCTTTGATAGCGCGCAATACTTCCTCTCGACCGACCTGTTGACACACTACGTCCATGCCGTGCGCCCCATCGAAAGGGACGAGGAAATCACAATCTCGTACGCGCCGCCTCTCCGCCTCCACGCCGACCGGCAGCAATTCTTCAAGTCTGTCTTCCACTTCACGTGTTCTTGTCGACGCTGCTCACCGGACTCCCACAACAGCCCCCGCACGGTACGAGACTCGGACAAGGCCACCCAAGACATCGTCAACCTGCAGTGGCAGCTCTCCCGACCCGACCCGACCGCCGGCGTCAGAGAAGCCGAAACGCTCGTCGACCTCTACAAAGCCGAGGGACTGGAAGGGTTTCTGGACGACGCGTACGGTCACGCCGCACTGGCGTATAGTCGCGTCGGCAGCGCGAGAGGGGCCAAGAAGTATGCCAGGTTGGCGGTCGAGGCCGCGTGGTTCAAGTACGGGTTTGACGGGGAAGGCATGGACAAGGTCAGGGAGTGGGAGAGCATCGCGAGGGATCCTACGGCTCATGCGAGTTGGAGGAGTGCGATCAGGAAGACGGAATTATAGTAGAATTTAATGTGAAAAAGGCAGAGAATTTTGAGCACCACGACGCTCCCTTCCTTCTTGCTTACTATTGAAAATGTCTGCGCCACAAAATAGGAGGCGGTGAGGGGCAAGGGGGGAAAGAGGCTGAGCTCACGTGCTAGCCTTCCACTATTCCTAATCCGTCCTTGCATGCCCTGCCACGTTGTCGTCCTCTTTAACCGCCAGCATCATCGCTGCGGTCATCATCGTTGAGATGTTTTTAATCATGTCTACACCATTGACGGGAATGAGAACAAGGCCAGGCCTGACGTCCCTCCACCAGTCTGCCACTGGCCTTGTTCGAAGCGCTCCGAACAAAAATGCCGATTGAACCGCTAACTATCACCGTGGCATGCTCCACCCTGATCTCGAACGTCGGAAAGGCCTCTGTGCAGATCTACTCGTTTGTGTCTAGGGTGCGAGATGCGCATCGAGATCTCGACGCTGTCCTGAAGGAACTGTCGTCCCTAGGCCTCTGTTTGGAAACGCTCCGGAACGACGCCATGGTCACCTCCAAGCGCGTACCTCAACCCCTCGAGAACCGGGTTCTTCTCGTCCTGGTCAACACGGCCGAAGTCGTCAAGGAGATGCGCGAGATGTTGGACAACTTGTCCTCGGACAGGTTCGGCAATCAGATGAAATGGGCCATCTACGGGCAAAGCGACATGAACAAGCTCAGAAGCCGGTTGGAGTCTCACAAGGCCGCGCTGGAGATAGCTCTGGCCCTGTTGACTTTGTGAGTGGGCCTTTTTTACAGGTTTCTCTTTTATTGAGTGTTGCCATCCGCTTACAGACTCCAGATCTCTCACCACGGCCATCAAGGATGATACAAGCAGTATCCGTCGGAATGTCAAGGAAACTGTCGTAGGTCTGGACCAGATTGTCCAAGTCCTAGCGGCGTTGCCAGAACGTGTTGCCGCCCAGTTACAAGTGGGCGCATTGAATGAAGCAGCCATCGTCGACACTATCAGACCAGCTCTGCAGGAATTGACAGCACCAGAAGCCCCAGTGGAAAACTCTGCCCGGACCCTCGAAAGTCTTTTTCCTCCTCCACCCATGAATGCGGAAGATCAAACCCCAAGCAACTTGGATGCAGCCGCGGCCGTACAGTCCAGCAGCCCTGCGTTGGCTGTTGTGGCTGCCGAGTCTTCAGGCCAGCCAGTCAACAGCACCCAGGACCAGGAATCTCGGTCTCCAAAATGGCGGAATGACAACTCGCATTCAAAGCTTCAACCGCCGCCACCGTTTGAGCAGGTAGCGGTTGATAAGGAGCCTGATGCGCCGGAAGAGTGGGTATCGAGGATAGACAGGCTGGCCCGCAGATTGGAGCAGGAGAAAAGGGCACGTCAGCGGAATAAAGAGGAGCGTTCGGGACGACGGGCGGGAAAATCAACCCTTCGCGAAGATGAAGTGTTGAAATGGGACGACTCCTTGCGGCCTCGGATGACAACAAATTTCCCCGGCGCTCCCGTTCGAAAGAGGACTGGCCATCCGCCTCTGGGTATGTCGCAATTCCCGGACGTCGACGACGACGACCATGACAACCGGCAAGCACCTGGGCTCTTCGAATCTATGCAGCGCAAGGCTCTGAGTGGAGACAACCAGGTAGAGCACGGCGAAGAACGACCACGACTTCAAGAGGACGACAAGGACAACGACAAGCAACCACGTCAGTTTTTCTTCCCAAGTTTCTTTTCCGGCCCAAGTCCCAGGCCTATGGAGAAACCAGAGAAATGGACATAGATCAAAAGTGAATTCCTGCGCCCCCGTGCAGTCACGCCCCCACGGTCAGTTAGAGACACTGACAAGTTGGCAACAGGTGAGGTACGACGAGGGGCAAACATGAAAAAGCGACCGAAGGCGTATCCGGAAAAGGACAGGCCGTATGAAATAATTTGGCCAGAAGAGACAGCACATCAGCCATTTTCATCGGGCAGTTTTGGGGGATTTAGGGACTATGTTGTGCTGATTGATGACTCGAATCCGCTCCTCTTGGCCGTGACTTGTGTGTGTTCGTGGAGGTGGACTGTGGACTGTGGACTGTGGACTGTGGACTGTGGACTGTGGTTTGTTGCGGAATTGCCACTGAGGGAATCGGACATGATGCGTACGACAATGGCATCGTACAGCTTGGGATTATTATGGCGATATATGGGGTTATCTAAAGTCATCATGTGGCTTTTTCTGTCGAGAATCCAGTGAAAGCAGAAAAGGACAGCTTTGGGGGGCTATGTAAATATATATAGAATGCCCGAACAATCATCCTACACGACTTTTCGCCGACTATTATCCCGCTGCTTTGCTCCCCCGTTTACGACTATTTAGTCGACTCACTCCCTCGTCCGCTCCCTTCCCCTCCCTTCCTCTCTCTTCTGCTCCCTCACGACCCTGGTCCGCTCCTACCGTGCTCCCTCCCTTACCAGTGAGGGTCCCGTTCGGGCTCTAGTCTCACAGGCGCCAATATTGCGCATACCTAACCTTGTGGCAACTTTACTCGATCATATCTACGACAGCCCATTTCAGCCCTGATTAGAGAGGTGGGATGTCTGAGAGGATGTCCTGCTACGTTGCTGGACCGGGTTAACTGAATCCCCCAGTTCTGTAAGTCAATATTTCTCTTTCTCTTTCTCTTTCACTGCACCTCTCTTCCTTTCCCTCTCCTCTCTTCCTCTCTGTCAGGGACGGGAACGGGGAGACTATTTCGAGAGGGTTCGAAAGTGTGCAAGGGGTTGAAAAGTCCTTGATATTGCTATCTTAATGGACGGTAAGCTAGAAGACGGGAAATAAAAAGTTCGAAGGGTAGTTCGGGCTCTTTCGAGATCCATGTACCCTTCCAAGTGGAGCATTCCTGATAGCTGAATGTCACGAATCTGACCTGGCCCAATGAATGCTCACATACGATCGTAATAGTCTTCAATTTGAGGCCTTTGAAGCGTCACAATGCCTCGAGCAATAGGGGATTCAGAGATTCAAGGCATCTGGAGAGCCCCCAAAGACTATTCGAAAGTAGGCACTCGGAACGGAATAACTATCTTTGAACCAATTAGGAGCTGCCGTTAGATGAGTAATCAAGCAACGGGAGTGGACTCACCCAGGACTCACCCAGGACTCATGGGTCGATTCATTGGTATTCGCTTAACAAGCAAGGAGTAGGAGTCGCATCCTGACAACGCTGAGTTTTGTCTTGAGCGGCGTTGAGTGGATACACGTGTATCCATGTGACGTATAGCCCTAGTGACCTGTGGACGACCTGGGCTTAGGAATACTTAATCAATCAGGCTTCTCCACGCAACTTCAAGACTGCGCAACCTCCCGCAATGGACAATGTAACTTGGAAGCCAGAATGACGGCCAAAGACTACGAGGTAAAGCTCGATCTGTCGAAGTTGGGAAGTGTGTCGCGCACCATCCGAAAGGAATCGATCCAGGAAGGGGACAAGGTCGAAGTTAAATATAGCTGGGTGAGAGGTTCGTTGTAACCCGGTTTTCCTGCCAGCCTGGCTGATGCACTACACTTCTAAACATCTACTAGGGTCAAAAACACAATCATCGATCGTTTTCATCGCCGTGTTGCCTGGAAAATGGTCTCTATATTCTCGACACAAAGGTATCTCCATGTTCACGAACACAACTCCAGGTAGCCCCTTTCCTGGTATTGAGAGCATGAACGACATACGTGGAAACCGGCGATGGGTACTCGGAGTGTTTCGGGGCATTTCTTTACCACCCAAAGAGAAGGATTTCACGAAGAATGCCAAGTACTTTGAGTGCCCAGGAGACCTGCGGCACATCGATACTTCTGAATTCGAAGCGTGGCAAGCGGTCGGTGTGACGACTTTGGGCGACAATCAAATAGATTTATTGAGTATTGCACCCACGTCTTTCCCCGAATCCGTTAGTTTGATGATGCTGACGTCTCATCTAGAGTCGCAATTGTGGCATCATTGGAGCAGCGGATACTATGACGAAAGACTCTGGAATAGTCAAAATTTCGTTGTATACCTTGCAGTTCTTATTCTGGAAGAGAGCTCCCGACAGGAAAATTTCCAGGCGCTTCATAGCCTCCACTGGACTCTATGGTGGAAACAGGAACACAAGATGGCATATATGATGACCCGAAGACACCTCACAGCAATGGCCGGAATGACCATATTTGGGATTGCTACCTTTGGACTTGGTGCTGTAGGTAGTTGGGCTTATGGAGGTTATGGAATTGTTGAGGCTTCTTTGGCATTCGGGGCTCGTGGAGCTAGACTTAAACATCTAGTCGAGCAGGAGCAATTTTCAATGCTGAGAGGCCTACTCGAGGGTGATGAAAGTGAGTGAGAGGACTGTCATGGTGTCAAAGTCGAGCTGAGGAAAACACCGCAGCCAAGCTCCACATCCAGTTGTTGCCAAGTCGTTCATCATTACCTAGTATTTATCATCACATTTATTTGTTCAGCAAGGTCCCATTTTCATGAGGAACCAACCGTTTGAAGGCGTGAAGCGACCAAGTTGACGAAAGGTTGGTTGATTGACTATCTAAGTTGGGCTGGTTGGTTGGCAGCGCGCAACAGGGTTTTGAGGTGCGCGAACGAATCACGTGACAGCAGAGGCACGTGCCTGTGATTTACGGAGGACTTGGTGCTTACTCGAAAAGTCTGGTCTCATGCCAAAGTTGTTCGACGTCTTTATAACGAACGCTTCACAGCCTTGGCAGGCTCGCAATCACATGCCTGTGGCGCAATATTTCATTGCATGCAGAGGAGCAGCAGGACATCTGAACCTTTGCAAAGTGGCTCCGGAGACACTTGCTGCGGAGGTAAGATCCAGTCTGTAGCTCAACTTGAGAAAGCTCCCATTGCAACTTTGAGTACTCGGTACACTGCATTTTCAAATAATCTGCACCTGTCTCAGTGAGACCTCAAGTACCTCGTAGACATTCAGACGAATTGTTTGACATTCAAGCTTGCCAGTTGGAGCAGCCCTGGATCCACTTGTCGATTCCAACTTGCAACAACTGATGTACTGTAATAAATGTGTCTTCGGTGAAACCTTTTCGGGCCCTACTCCTTGGACAAGATGAGGAATTATCCACTGCCTATACTCCCTTTCATAAACGGTGGGAACAGGAACGCAGCTTGACTATGTTGGACCTCCAAATCCCTTGGCGGCTCTCACAAAGCCCTCGGTGAGCGCTTTGGCACCCCAAATTGACCCCTGGTTGCCAAAATGGCCTCCTTATGGGCTCGAAGTCGACCCTGAGAGCCCCAACGGGCCTCTAGATTCTTGGAGTTGGGCAGGGCGCCACAAGATGCAGGCAGCAGGCTTAGCTGAAACGAACGAGGGTACGAGGTACAGCTGAGCAACTGTAGCCGAGGGTCCAAAGGGGACCTCTGAGCCCGAACTGTCTTCCGCAGTTTGGCATCAGGGCAAGCTCTTTGTGGCTCGCGTAGTGCTCGGGCGGCCTTCCCCCGTGCTCTGCCGTGACTCCCTCGATGCTCTCCCGTGCTCGGCCAGGCTCCCCCAATGCTCCATCACGTACGCGATTAAAGCGGCTTCGCTCCGTTTCCTGAATGCAATTGTTCATGGAAAGAAGCACAGGTCGGGGTGTATATAAAGTATATATATATATATATACCTCTCTCTCTGATAAGTGGTAAATGGTCAGAATATCGGTAGAGTGACAAGACCACCGTTTTCAAGACGGTACGGTGTTGATTGAAGACTCGGAAGAGGAAGGGAGGACGATCCAAGTCCGCACCTTGGGTGGATCGGGCACGAGCACAGCCCATGGGGTAAGATACATACGACGCAGGAGTACATACATACCGGGTAAGTACGTGGGACCTTGTAAGTGTGTTCTCAGTGGCGTTGGCTTACCCCCGCGGGGGTTTGTCGATCTCTGGAGACGGAGGAGGGGGGAGTTGGAGGAGAAGCAAGGGTGGTACAGTAGTACTGGCTAGCGAACAGCAGACGAATGAGTGAGGGAGGAAGGAGTGCGAAACACACCACGTTTTTGGAACTTGTCGTCGTCCATACCTAGAGGGATTAGATAGATAGAGGGAAGAGAGCCACTAATGACATACCATACTCGGTTGGTACTGTGAAGGTGTCATAACAGACACGCACGAGAGAGAGAGAGAGAGAGAGAGAGAACCCCCCGCAGCGAATATTCAAGCCTACAAGGCTGAACGAAAGGGGGAGGTTAACCGCCATGGCCCTCACTTTTCCGGCCATGTTCTCGCTCGAGAACAGGACCGCCGTCGTCACAGGTACGCCACGTCAGGTTCAGGTAGATACGGACTCTGAGAAAAGACTCCCTACATACCGATCTAGCTCATCGATCGACATGCTGACTCTGGGAATACATCAGGCGCGACGAGAGGCATCGGAGCCGCAATGGCTGTGGCCCTGGCAGAGGCTGGGGCTGACATCGTTTTGGTCCAGGTATGGACAGACCCCCGACACACTGAGGACGGCGAGGGTTGCTCAATGGAACATCTACCTGTCCGTCTGTCTATTCATCTATCTATATCTCTGATACCTCAAGAAATAGAGAGACGACACCAACACGACGACAAAAACCGCCATCGAGGCCCTCGGCCGCAAAGCCTCCATCTACACGGCCGACCTGGCCTCACAGTCCGAGGTTTCCAGCCTCGCGCCCAAAATCCTCAACGAAGGCGGCCACGACGTGTCCATCCTGGTGACGTGCGCGGGGATCCAGCGACGGCATCCCGCGCACGAATTCCCCCTCGCGGACTGGGACGAGGTCGTCCAGGTGAACCTGCGGAGTGTCTTCACCCTGTGCCGCGACTTTGGGGCGTACATGCTCACGCGACCTCTCCCGACGGGTGGTGGGAGAAGGGGCTCCATCGTCAACATCGCCAGCCTGGTCAGCTTCTCCGGCGGGCTGACCGTCCCGGCCTACGCGGCCGCCAAGGGCGGCATCGCCCAGCTCACAAAGGCCCTCAGCAACGAGTGGGCCGGTCGCGGGGTCAACGTCAACGCCATCGCGCCGGGTTACATCCACACGGACATGAACGAGGCGCTCATCAACGATGAGACCCGCGCCAGACAGATCCTCGAGCGCATCCCCATGGGTCGGTGGGGGACGCCGGACGATTTCAAGGGCGTGGTCGTCTGGTTGGCCAGTCCGGCGAGTGCGTACGTCTCGGGCCATGTGCTCGTTGTGGATGGGGGGTGGATGGGGAGGTAGGTAGGTAAGACACTACCTTACCTAGGTCCTCAAGGGTGGCGTTGTGTGTCAGAGGAATCAAAGGGTAGGGCTATTGGAGTGATTGACAGAGAGGGAGGGTATGACATGACAAAAGGCTGCTTTACTCATGAGATCTGGCCTGAGGAGAAAGCTGCACGGCGGACCCTTATGAAAAGGACAAGCAGGTAGGTAGATGTTTGCAGCGAGTATCCACGAGTCCTTGTCCGTAGCAATGTGATCATTTACGCTTTTCGCTTCTCGCTTCAAGGCTTACCACTACTACACCCCATCCAATCTGTCACTGCTGAGGACAAGACATGACGAGACAACAACAGTAACATACATCCCGACGTGCCAAGAAGCCCTATGTGCCTTGATCTAGACAAAATCAGTTGTCTGACAGCGACTTAATACTTCAGGAACCATTGCCCCACTGCAACTAATAAAATAAGGAATGGACCTAAATTGGGTCCATTGGGGAGCTCGCCATTCGAAAGCGTTGTTGGTCTGACTGTATGTAACTCATTTCACTCCTGCAGTCCTAGATACTGGTATTTGTAACTTTTACTTTTATGCTTTGCTTAACAATAGAGCGAAAACATAATCCCAGAACAAAATACAACCGTTATTTCTGGATATTTAGCTCGTTATGAATACTGCGTCCTCTGCAATCCACAACCTCTTGGAGGAGAACTCTGGCAAGGCCTCTCCCTAGCGACCTAAAGACTCAGACTAGAACGCTGAACTAGGTCCATATGGACCTCCGAACATACTCGGCGTGGTTTATTGCGTTAGGTTATGATTCAAAGACGTGGCAATAGCTGCGCATGCCCGAGCTATCGATCTCTTGAATAGCCTGCTGCAGCTCTCCCTGTCATCTACGCTTTCTTGGAGCCTGATCGGAAACTGGTAGAGAAAGTTTGCCCTCGGTTGGAACTTGACCTCCAGCGCCTGGTCCAGAGGTCGCGATCCCCGTCGTCTCCTGTGTCGACTGTTGCTCTATGATGTCCCGGTAGCACATCACTCGGGGCAGTCCCTACCACTTTCGATTTGGTGGATACGCGCAATTTTTTTTTTCTCACAATTCTGAAGAAATAGTTGTTGGCTTCGGTCTCGTAACAGACTGCTCTCGGTCAACGCCCGCTCGGCGGCGTTAATGGCTTTTTGCATTCTATGCTGGCTTAGCTCGCTCACATGGTGGGATTCACCTTCAACCAGGCGCCGGGGCGCTGCAAATCCCTCGGATGCCACGGGTGTGGCCTGTATTTCGTCGGCCGGAAAGAACTGAGTTTGTTAAGGTGTAATGTATGCTGGAATCTGATCCATTTTCGGTCCTGTAATGGTGGCAAGGACACGATCCGGGGTCAAACGGGAAGAGGCCGACCTTTCTCCAAATAGAAACAATGTTAAACTCGGTAAAAGCGGCTTACCGGGCTCGGCTATACAATAATGTAAAGTGCTGCTTGCCAACTGTTCCAGCTCCTCCGCGGTACAGTTACTCGACTTATTCTCGATATGCTATCTTAAGCGGGCTAAAGATGCCGACGTCGAGCGGCTGGAGTTTACGAGAAGTATAATATTGTGATGGAAACAAAACTCGAGTAGCTCAGCGGATTCATGGGTGGTAAAGCCATCATTGATCAAAACTCGGGGTTTACCACAGGCTCGGGAGCGGGTTTGAGGTTCAAACACGTCCTTGATCCACGATAGACTGATATGTCTATCGGTATATCCTTTGGGTGGACACGCAAAGTGCCAATCAGGCGTGGGATGGGTGGTCCAGACACTACGGTGGGTCGATGCAGGCCAGATAATCAAGGGCGGGAGGGCAGTTCCTGTCGCAGACACACATTCTATAGCAGTAACGAGAACGCGTTATACTCCGGTGCCTCGATGGCGGCGCGTGTCCTCGCTGTGCACTAACATTTTGACAGTCGTAGCGTAACCGGGGAGCACGCCTATCTCATCCATATTGTACACGTTCTCGGGAGTGATATCAGGGTTAGCTAGCTCTTTGCCAATGATGTCGAACCAGTGTTTGACCTTGTCATATATATTCTCGTTAGCTCTCATCCGGTCAATGCCTTTAAGCCTTCGGGCCTGCAGTTCTGGATGACGTGAGTAAAGTGCTTGGGGATAGTTCTTGCCGAGAGGTTGCGCTCTATCGGTTTGTCTGTGTCGAGTACGGGGTGCCACGACGCTGCCTGATAACTAGTGCCAATCTTCACAAGGCTTTAACGGGCAGGGGAAAACCGTCGTCTGCACATCGTAAAACATAGGCGACTAGCGCCTTCTCTTCCTGTGGTGTGAGGTACTGTTGATTGATGGCTTCCTTCCGCCTTGCAAACGTTTCAGTCGAACTGCTCGGGAGTGTAGAGGGGTGAGGGTTGCTCGACGAGGGCAGGTTAGTCGCTCTTCTTGACGAAAACCGATCGTCTCCGGTCGTGGTGGTCAAATTCATCATTTGGCGCTCGACAGTGGCTTCAGAGAAGCTCGATATTTACTGTAATGGAACGATGCCCCGGGTAGATGTACCATGGTAAAGGCCACGGTTACAAGCTGAGCATTTTCGGAACGGAACAGTTTTACACCGGTAACTGCGCCCTCTTGTGCGACGTGGACAGGCGCAGTCAAACTGTTTAACCCGTAAGGCTGGCAGTGACGATGTTGAGTTCCACCATTCCCATGCTCACGCATTGTAACTTACTAGGTCTTGTTAATTTCTTGCAACAACGTCACACCTCGCAGCCCGCGAGCAGACTTCGAGGACAACATCATGGGCGACCCACTATCCGTTACCGCTAGCGTGGCTGGCCTATTGTCTCTCGGCTTACACAGTACAGAGTACCTTTACAAGTACTACACCGCGTGCCGAGATCAACATCAGGATCTCGCCAAAATTGCAGACCAACTCGGTAACCTCCTCGAATCCGTCCAAGTTATCGACGAGATTGTGCGCAACCGCACCTGGCGGCCCAACGAGCAGTCAATCCTACAATGTATTGAAAATTCTATCACTCATAGTGAAGAGGCTATAAAAGGGTTACAGCGTGAAGTCGACAAATTCAAAAATGAGCCCAATAACGACTGGAAAAAGAAGGTAGTGTCCGTTGGGCGACGGGCGGCGTATCCATTCAAGAGGAGCACATTAGAAGATCTCGGCGACGATGTGAGCGAGTTTCGTGGCAACTTGTCAATCGCGCTACAGGCGCTTCAGCTGAAAGAGCATCAGAATACACAAGGCGACATCGAGGAGGTCAACGCTATCGTCAAGGACATACAGGCACGAAGTGTCAGTGCCGATCTGCGGCAGTGGCTGAGTGCACCTGATGCAACAGTCAACTTCAATGTCGCAGTTGCCAAACGACACGCGAGCACTGGGCAGTGGTTGGTCCAAGGTCCCGCCTATACCACATGGCTACAGCAGGGCAATTCATTTCTGTGGCTGTATGGCTTCGCTGGCTGTGGAAAGTCCGTACTGTGCTCGACGGCGATCCAGCACGCCTTTCGCCGCCGACAATCGTCCGCCGACAGTGCGGCCGCCTTCTTCTTCTTCGACTTTAGAGACGAGTCGAAACAAGATGCGTCTGCGGCGCTACGAGCATTGCTATTCCAGCTCTGTGGACAGATTCCCGGTCTGGAGGCAGACTTGACCCGCCTGAAAAATTCATCTAATCATAGCACTCCACCGGTACAGGTCTTCCTGGAATATTTGCGACAAGGCGTGGCCCGGTGTCGCCACGTCTATATTCTACTTGATGCCTTAGACGAGAGTCCTGCGGGCAACTCGCGCCTCGAAGTCCTATCGCTGATAGAGACCATGCGACAATGGCAGCTGCTGGGCTTGCACTTGTTAGTCACCAGTCGGGACGCCTCCGATATCCGAGCATATCTACAGTTTCCGGCACTCCCCGCGGGCGTAGAGCATATCGCGATGAAAAACGACAGTGTCCAGGAAGATATCTCGCGATTTGTGTCATTTCAAGTTGACTACGACCGTGAACTTCAGCACTGGGGTGACCATCGAAAGAAGATCAAGAGCTATCTGGTCTCGCATGCGGATGGAGTGTAAGTAGTTCACCATGTTTGTCCATTCCCACGTACAAGAGCTGACTGATGTGCAGATTTCGTTGGGTCGAATGCCAACTTGAGCCGCTGCGGCAGTGTCCTCTAACTGAGTATCATCTAGAAGAGTGTCTGCGAGAACTGCCAGAGTCTCTTGACGAGACGTACGAGCGGATGCTCTGTGGCATCAAGTTCAAGAAGGACGCGCAACGAATCCTGTCCCTCCTGTGTCATGCATCGCGGCCGTTGTCGATCGATGAGGTCATTGAGGCTCTCGCTGTCGACATTGACAACCGTGGGTGCTATAATCCAAGGAGGAGAAGCACTGGCGGTGCTGACCACCTCACTCGAATTTGTCCTGGACTCATTGAGATCAGCCTGGATACATTGGGTACACAGGGAGTCCGGATTGCTCATTTCTCGGTCCAAGAGTTCCTACTCTCTGACCGCATTCGAAAAGGTCGAGCGGCCGATTTCGCTTTGTCAGGCCTATCGCAGCATGGGCGGATCAGCAAAACTTGTCTACTGTATCTCCAACACGATGAATTCTTGCAACAGAATTTGAGTCCAGATCTCGTGAGACAATATGCCTTTGCAAAATATGCTGCGGAGCATTGGCACCACCATTATCGCCAAGCTGACGGCCAATGTACCCGACAGTTGTCAGAGATGGTTCGCAATCTGTTGATGACGCGCTGTACGAAAGAACGTTGGCTTCGGCTAGGCGATCCAGATACACCATGGTCAACTGACGTGGATTACTCCACAGTCGCTCAAAGTTATCCTTCGGCAACATACTATGCTTCTCTTCTTGGCCAAGACGAAGTGTTGATGTTTATTCTATCTATATCTACAGCAGATGTCAACGTACAAGGAGGCCGTTATGGTAACGCACTACAGGCGGCATCAGCGCGTGGCCACGAGAAGGTAGTACAGATACTGCTCGAGAAGGGTGCCGATGTCAACGCACAAGGAGGCGATTATGGTAACGCACTACAGGCGGCATCAG